CTGTGTGATGCAGTGTGTGTGTCTGTGTGTGTTGCTCAACTCCTATTCAGCCTTGGCACCTAAAGACTTAGTGTGGCAGTGTGTGTGTTTGTGTGTGGCTTAGCGGCAGTGTGTGTGTGTGTGTCTGTGTGTCTGTGTGTTGCAGTGTGTGTGTGTGTCTGTGTGTGTGTGTCTGTGTGTTGCAGTGTGTGTGTCTGTGTGTCTGTGTGTGGCAGTGTGTGTGTCTGTGTGTTGCAGTGTGTGTGTTGCAGTGTGTTGCAGTGTGTGTGTGTGTGTGTGTGTGTGTGTGTGTGTGTGTGTATACCCTGCAGTAGACTAGCATCCCATCCTAGGAAGTGTTAAAGCAGATCTATGCTTGGACACCCTCCTGATTACAGACTGCATGGTACAATGTACTAACATCCATCCCCTCCCCCCTCCTGCAGGACAGCCCACGCACGGGGAAAGGCGGAGGCGGCAATGGGAGCAGCCCAGAAGGCCCAGGAGGAGTGCCGACTCGCTAGGGTCACTGCCAAAGAATTCTCCCCCTCCTTTCAGCACCGCGGAAACGGTCAGTCTGCTGCCGCCATGGCAGCCATCGTCGCGGCAGAGTGGCACACCCGGCCGTCCCCCCCCACAGGGGAGGCCGAGCCAATGTCCACAGGCCGCCCACTAAACGGGCGTCGGCCTGTTGCCTTAGTTACCAGGCACTGGGGTGCTCAGGAGCGCCCTCTGAGCTATTCGGGCCTGAGGGTGATCCCCGTGCTCGGCCCCCCCCCCGCCCCGCCGCACATCCTGCTCTCGCAGTGGGGGGGTGCTCCCTGTGAAACGCGGCAGATGCTGAAATCCATTTTCTGTCTGTCTCTGCCTCTTATGGCTGATATCCCCTCTTTCTCCTCTGTTCCCCCCTTCCATCACTCCGTCCTTCCTTCCGCTTCTGCTTCCATCCACATCATGCTGATGACTGGCTAAATGTTGCCATTGTCTGTCCGAGGTGGTGGATCATTTCCAGCCCTGTCTAATAGGCTCATCCGCTAATAGGATTAGCCAGACCCTCCTTAGCCAGCCCCCACCCAGTCCCCGCACACTCCTGCAAACCTATACCTCATCTCACAGAAGTCACATGATTCCTCTAATCATCAGTAATTGGCTAAAATGTTTTGGTGTTAACATGCTTATGGAATTACTCATAAACAGGGACACATGGACAGACAAAGGCGTGCACACTCATGGCCTTACACTACACACACACTGTTCATTTTGTGCGGCCTCCTAATATACTGTAATATGCTAATACCTAAGATATTGTCCCTAAGTTCCAATAGATAAAAACTCTGGCAGTGTGAGAGTTTCCCAGACTGTTTATTTGAAAGTAAAAGTTCACACACACATGCACACCTATGGGCAATTTAGTAACCACACACAGATTAATGTATCTATATCTCTCCATTCATTTCTATGGGAAAACCCTAATCCCAGCAATGACAACCTTAACCGCTACCCAGCCCTCACCTTAACCATAAGTAACCAAACAAAATACAAGGCTGTTGGCATTTTTCCTTTTTTGATAGCATTCACAAGAGTTTTACACAACTGAGTTTCCCATTGTGGGGACCAAAGAAAATGATTAAAATAAAGGGTTACACTGTGGGGCCATTTGATGAAAGTGCTAACTGTTAACCACAAGCTTCACTAGCAAAACTACAAAACATTTTTTTTTCACAGAATAACAGGAGTTAATAAGCAACTTTTTATAAATCATTCCCTCTGCACTCCTGTAGACAGCACATGTTTATTTACCTACAGGAAGATGACTTACGGACAGACAGACTTACAGCCCAGACCTGGAGCTCTCACTCACCAAACACAGTACAGACCGGGAGCTCTCACTCACCAAACACAGTACAGACCGGGAGCTCTCACTCACC